GCTGCGGCGGGGTGGGCGCCCGAGGGGGCGGTCCGCGCTGGAGCTGGGCCTCCCTGCTGAGCCCGGGGGTGCACAGGTGGGTGCGCAGCGGCGAGGAGAGATCTCAGTTTTCTCGGTCCTTTTCCCCGCCCCCATCCTCCAGTCCTTTCAACTTTCCTACAGACATGTCCTCCTGCGTTCTCTCCGCTTCTCCTTTAATGAAGCGTCGATCCAACGGGAGACAAATGGAAAAAGTTAAATTTTAAAAATGTACAGGTGAATAGTCTAACCAGACGTCCATAGAAAGGAGAAAGACATCCCTGGAAAGCATTTTAAAAATGATTTCTAACGGTGATGGTTTAACACAGAATATTTAACCTAGAGGTCTTATTATTAATGGTAGTACAATTCAACATGAGGTGCATTTGTTTTTCACCCAGTTCAGTTTTTTTTTATGCATAAATACAGTGAATAGGCAAGTTTAAATAGCTTGCTTTTGATTTTTTGACCCTCTTAGAAGATCACAAAACGAAGTGTGTTATTTGTATTAATAGTCAGAATTCTGTCGATTAATCCGTAATTGGCAATTGAGAATGCACAACTTGACAAGTCCCCTTTGTCACTTTTGCAAGGGACTTAAGTACGGGAAAGACAAGGCATGTATGTTAAAGGGGAGAAAGGTTACCCTTGAAGAAATTGCTTTCAGGTCTTTATCTCAGTCTGTAAAATGAGGGGCTTGGACTTTCCTGTTCTTATACTTCTTTAATGTAACCGGGTGCAACTTTCTTATGGAGCTAACGCTACAAAATAATGTTGCTAAGCATGTACCACAAGGTGAGAGCACATGCATGTACCTTGTTTTAAATTGTTTTTAGGCAGAGTTTGATCCCATTTTGTAACCTGAGGATTGATTTAACCTTTAATTAGATGAGGATTCTTTATTTTTGAAGTGGAATCTCCTGAACTTGTTAGCATATTTTTTACTAGTAGAATAGATAATCTTATTTCTGGTCAGTTTATGATAAATTATTTCCTCTGTAAGGACACTATGGCAAAGCATACTATAATTATTAGGCACAGCCTGCCAGTAGGTAAGCATTTATCAGTTGAATCATTTGACCTGATTCATAGGACAATTGCTATAACTAGGACTATTTTTATCATGAATGAAGACAAACTAAAATCTACAGGCTTCATTTGCTTTTGTCTTTGTGCACATTGCTTTGGGTGTTTTTTAGATCTGATTGACTAAAGAAATAAAATTCACTGTCAATTAAAATATTAAATATCTGCTGTATGTTTGAAGAGAAGTAACACACCCTAATAAGGCCCTCTCCGATTGCCCTTGCTCTCCACTTCTCCACAATCTAGACTGAAATGCAGTGCGGTGCTTTGTTTTACTGTATGAATGAACTGCTGTGTGGAAAGTATGAGTACCTTATACTACTTGCAGACTCTAATTGCTTAACTGGAGTAATGCAGAAGGTCTGTCTGATATGACCCTCCGATGTTTGATTTCAGTGTTAAATATTAAGTAAGCACATTCAGAAAATAATTTTTCTGGTATTTGTTTATGCTGTTCCTGACCCGTTGCTGCTCTTACTACTGTTTCCACAACAAACAGAGTTAATTTCATGTGGATTTTCATTAATTTTTCTGAATTAGCTTGAAAAATTTTTTTTTCATCTAAAACTAATACCATAAGGTTTTGATGTTTTTTTCTTTGTTCTTTAGACTATCTCACAGCTCATTAGTAGGTGAATCAAATCAGTTTTTTTTATTATGTATTAACAGCTCAGGTAAGGGTTTGGGAAAAGTAGAAATTGCATTCAAGATCATTTTTTTTTTTCAACGATGAAGGATAAGATGACAAGAATTTCAATTTACAATCTTTAAAAAAATCACCAATTATTTCAACTAGCAAGAGCTTGATAAGTATGCCAAACAATACAGATTTGCAAATTCTTCCTCACCCACACTTTGAAGTTGCTTAAACAATAAAGAAAAGAAGAGCATGTTAGACTGATACTGAGCACCATTTGCTGTGTGAAGTGCTCTATGAGACATTGATAGTAAAAAAATATACACTGTAAGGGTGTCTGCCTCAGCTTCCTTCTGAGTGACCTCTGCATTAAGTAGAGGAAGAGTTGGTTTGGAGGGGAAGAACCTAAGAGAATCTCCTTGTGAGCTAACCTAATCTCTTGAGTGATAAACTTGAACATTCAACATTCATTTCCCTGCTTGCTCAAGCCTCTTCTGATTCTTTCTTTCTCCCTTTCCCACACCCCTGTCAAAGTCTGGAGGGGTAGGGGTTATCTCCTCAAGCAGAGATAGCCCTAGGGCAGCGGTTCTCAACCTGTGGGTCGTGACCCCTTTGGGGGTTGAATGACCCTTTCACAGGGGTCACCTAAGACCATCGGAAAACGCATATATAATTACATATTGTTTTTGTGATTAATCACTATGCTTTAATTATGTTCAATTTATAACTGAAAATACATCCTGCATATTAGATATTTACATTACAATTCATAACAGTAGCAAAATTACAGTTATGAAGTAGGAACGAAAGTAATTTTATGGTTGGGGGTCACCACAACATGAGGAACTGTATTAAAGGGTTGCGGCATTAGGAAGGTTGAGAACCACTGCCCTAGGGTAAGGGGATTTTGGGAATCATTTCTGAGATTATAATTTCAAACATTACTTTACCCTCAAGACAAGAACTAAGAGGTTGGGTAAATGAGGAAATCTCATAACAGCTGAGCTTGGTCTCGATGAAAATCCAAGACACATATTAAATTTCAGTTTACCTTAAAAATTCTGTAGTGAGCACATGGTGCAATAAACAGGTCTTGTAACAAAGAAACTCACACCTGAAACCTGTATGTTCATGTTAACTAATGTCACCGAATTAATTTAATAAGAAAGAAAGAAGAAGAAAGAAAGGAAGGAAGGAAGGAAGGAAGGAAGGAAGGAAGGAAGGAAGGAAGGAAGGAAGGAAGGAAGGAAGGAAGAGAAAGAAAGAAAAGAGAAAGAAAAAAGTTATAGGCCTGGGGGAAAAAAATCCCTACCTTACTTCTCTGTGTTCTATAGCTAGCTCAGATTCATAAGATCCCAATTCTAACTTCCTGTACACACTTGGCCTGCTCCTGTATTCCTTAATTCAGAAAAAATGAAGGATGGCCATCATTCCAAGTAGTGATGATGATCAAACTTCTGATTTGCATGGATGGATATCGCTCCTGAGAAGTTCAGTTCTCTTATAACTCAACTCTGAAGGTTTGGTGTCTTCTCATTGTGCATTGTATTCACTTTGTTCATTCATCCTGACAGGTACTAAGCATTTCCGAGACTCAGTTTTGAGTTCTTCAATTTTGAGAAATTCTATCGATTTATTCCTTCAATAATTATCTGACTTGCATTTTTTTGTGCAGCCCCTCCCTGAAACTCATTAATGTTGGATTTTTTACTACCAGAATTGAATCTCCAGTTTGTATTTCTCTTCTATTTCCATCTTTTTCACCTTTTACTCCTTGTACTCAGATTTTAGATTTCTTTGACTTTTTCTTCTGAGCCTTCTAAATAATCATATTACTATGGTTTCAACTATTAGCTATCATAGTTTTAAAATATGCATGCTTTTTACTTATTGATTTTTTGTTTTTTATTTTATGGATACACTAGGGGCCCAGTGCACGAATTTGTGCACCTTGAAAGGAACTGTGGGCGGCGAGGCTGCAGTGGGCACAGGGGCAGGTCTCAGCCTATCCTCTGTGCCCCCACCCGGCACCTTCCATTACACCCCCAGCCCCCTGTCTGCCAGCAGCCCTGCTGATGGCGCTGGCCCCGCTTGCACCTGCTGACGGTGCGGAGCGATTGGCTGCCCAAATCACCCCTCAGGAGCAGAGGGAGGTCGAGAAGCCCTCACGGGCAATAGGGGTCAGCAGCCGCTGCTTGTACCCGCTGACAGTGCCAAGTGATCAGGGGACCAGCACCAAGGGCCAGCAGCGGGTGCCAGCAGGGCCAGCACTGGCAGCAGGTGCGAGTGCTGGGCGGGACCACGGCGCATGGGAGCAAAGAATTTTCAGTAGCCACCAGAGGCTTGCCTTGATGACAGCAACCGGTGCCCCACCTTGGTCTGGCACCCCTCTCACCTGCTCCACCATCCCACCATGGCCGACGCCTGCCATGTTCTGTGCTCGCCCCCTGGTGGTCAGCGCATTTCATAGTGACCAGTTGTTCGTTTGTTCAGTTGTTCTGCCATTCGGTCTATTTGCATATTAGGGTTTTATATATATAGATAATCTGTGCTTATTTCTCTAACCATATTAACAATGTATTATAGTTTACTCTCCTCATTTCTGTCTTGTGTCTTTTTTCTCTAAATAACATCCTGTTGTTGTTTAGTTGTTCTTCACGTTGTAGGATTTTTTCAGGTGTCTGCTGATATAAATGACTAAATGTAAATACTTTCCACTTATATTTAAGAGCAATAAGTATAGCGTTGAAGCTTCAAGTGCATTAGTAAGGCTTATAACGATGGGTTTCACTGATGGGAGATTCATGGTATTTTAATTGGAGAACCCCCAAATATTAAAGAGGGACAATTTAATCATTCATTAGGGATATGGAGTAATAATTAAAACCTCCCTGCTTGTACTTAACCCTCCATTTTTAATCTGGGATATCATTCTGCTCTCTTGTAGTTTTGGTGTCTTGAGTTGGAGCCTTTCTAGTTTAATAGTGTCAGGGATAGACTCTCTTATTTGCAAATTTGGGGAAAGGTAATTACCTGACTAAAGAGTTGTGTGATTGGAGACTTG